CCCCGAGTTTATGTTCTCTGTTTTTAAGAGATGTGGAGGAAAAAAAAAACTCAATGGGTATTTTAGGGTTTTTCTGGATGATGAGTTTTTGTTTTGTTTTTTTTCTGTATTTTATTAGAGGTGAAAAATAATTATTTATTCTTTTTCTTCCGTCCTTTTTCTCTTTCTGTTATTCCTCCTCCTCCTCCAATTCCACTTTCTTCTCCTTCAATTACACAATAACAGAAAAAGTACAATTTCTAATACAAACACAAACACAGGCACACACACACACACACACACATACCACACACACACACACACACACACACACACACACACACACACACACATACACCACCCAAGGAACAAACATACACTCATCAGTCTTAACACAATCACATACACACAAACGCTATTAAAACATACGGGGGGAGTAAGGAGAGAACACGACCCGTAAATTCACTTGATCGTAAACTGGAAGAAGTGAATTGCGATAGTTATAGGTTTTCGATGACGGAGAAATGGCCTGGTACGTGTGTGTGTGTGTGTGTGTGTGTGTGTGATGTGGTAGAGATGCTGTGGTAATATTAGCCACTGTGGTAAATATTCTTGTTAGGTTAGTTTATATTACTCCTATATTAAACAAATTCACGACCCGGATCTATTAAACTGCCAACTTCAACAACCAAACCATTTTCGTTGCCTCGGAATTCTGAAACTTTGTGTTTCCACTAAAAGAATTCCTATAATGACCTCTCTCTCTCTCTCTCTCTCTCTCTCTCTCTCTCTCTCTCTCTCTCTCTCTCTCTCTCTCTCTCTCTCTCTCTCTCTCTCTCTCTCTCTCTTGTTTGGTGCAATACTGAAAGTATTGCCAAGAACTTACGTTTAGGTTAGGTTAGGTTAGGTTAGGTTAGGTTAGGTTAGGTTAGGTTAGGTTAGGTTAGGTTAGAGTTAGGTTAGGTTAGGTTAGGTTAGGTTAGGTTAGGTTTTAAAACACATATAAGGTTAATGTATAATGGAAATTCACAGGTGGGAGGTAATGGTTTGTTTTACCTGCCTTGTTAATTATATATATTTCACCCCTTTACAACCCGGAGACATATGTAAAGTTTGTTATTACCACATTACATTAAACTGACAAGCGACGCAATTAGCATAAAACGTGAAAATTCTAAACCGTGTGTAATTGCTTGTCATTCATAACGTTCTTGGTAAGTGCAGTAGTTTAGGTTGTGTTAGGTCAGGGTTGGGTTGGGTTGGGTTGTGTTGGTTGGGTTGGGTTGGGTTGGGTTGGTTAGGTTGGGTTGGGTTGGGTTGGGTTGTGTTAGGTTGGGTTGGGTTGGGTTGGGTTGGGTTAGACTGGTGGGCTGCCTATAGGTTGTAAACATACATTATGACGCCTCGGCTTAAGTAAACACAGACTTCCGTTACCCACAACTCAAACACATTAACATATCAAAACATTATCACAGTATCATTAACATAAAAGTGACGCATTTATTCCTTAGAGAATGAATTAATGTTTATTTTATCGTCTTTTTAACAGTAGTCATGTATATGGTAATGGAGGGAAGAATGTTAAGAAAAATGAACTTATAAATAATGGTGTTATATCATCTAGGGTTGACTAGTGACGCTCTCTCTCTCTCTCTCTCTCTCACAGGGCGAGAACAACCAAACTGTCATCTACGCTTTGATATGTAAATGAGTTCGATATAGGAGAAAGGAAAGAAGGAAGGGGTGGGTGGGTGGGTGGGTGGGTGTTGGGTGGGTGGGCCAAGTAAGATCTAAGTTTGGGGGATTTGTTGGGTGTATGGGGGAAGGGGAAGGGGAGGGGAGATATGCAAATAAGGTGACACTCAGCTGGTTAGAGGAGGATGTGGGTGAATTAGTAGGCTGGTTGGGAGTTGTATGGAGGCGTCATGTTCACGTGTGGATAAATGGGGAGATGTTCTTCATGTTATGGCGGCCTGGGTGGAGGAAATTGTTGAATTAATGTTGTTTTTTTTTAATTCATTATGGGGGTTGAATTATGGGGTGCCAGGTCTGGTCAGGTCAGGTCAGGTCAGGTCAGGTCGGGTCAGGTCAGGTCGGGTCAGGTCAGGTTAGGTTAGGTTATCAGGAACACAGTATTTCTTGTATCTGTCTGTCGGAGAGTGCTTCAGTCACGCTCTTATATCTTCCGCCTTCCACACTCCTGCCATAAACACATAGGAACACTGCCTGGCGAACCCATCTCCTTCCAGCCAGACGCACTATCGCCAGCCTTGTCGTCACTCAGGAAATGATGTCTTATGTGTTCGTCTTTTGTTTTGTTTTTTCTATATGACGTCGTGCTCGTTAAATCAGCCTCCCGTGTCTGATGTCTTAACAGCCATGGAGGTAGACATGGAAAGCTGTTGTCTTGCGTACATACATACATACATACACTCTCTCTCTCTCTCTCTCTCTCTCTCTCTCTCTCTCTCTCTCTCTCTCTCTCTCTGTTAAAACACCTTTAATTTTTCACAGGTGTTCAGTGAGCTAACTTACACAGGTAGAAAGAGTTAATTATTTACAATGGTTCCCCTCCTTCTCTACTTCTCTCCTTCTCTCCTTCCTTCCTTTTCTCCTCCTCTTCCTCCT